GTGGTCCCCGGGCCGCCGAGTGCGCCCCCCCCCCCCTTTCGAGGAGGGTAGACGGCGTTCCCGGGCGTCAGGGCGAGGGCCTGGTGTAGAGGTCATGGCCGAGGCGTAGTCCTTGGTGGCCATGGCGGCGTTGCCGCGGGACTTGAGGGCGTCGGCCTCCTTCTTCTGCTCCTCGGTGGGCGCGGCAGTGCTGCCGGCGGCGGCACTGGCCGAGGCGCTGGCGCCGGTCGTCGACGTGTTGGCTGACGAGGAAGACTTCTTGAGCTTCTCGTACACACCGTAGATCTGCTGGAGGTTCTGGGTGCCGACAGCGTCGGTCAGGGCCTGCTTGTCGCTGGGGTCAATCTTGAACGAGTCGGCGATGCACTGGACGGCGACATCGATCGAGTCCTTGTCGTCGGCGGGAAGGGTGCCGTCGGCGACCGAGGTCGACAGGAAGTCGCAGATGGCGAGCGCCAGGCGCTGTTGGGATGTTTGGGCCTTCAAATAATTAGCTGTGGATTGGCATCAGAGGGGGGGGCACTTCGAGAGAAATGAACCATACCATTGTGTGAGACTTGTGGGATGTGAAAATGGTGTTGGCAGATGATGTCAAGACCAAAGTCGCCAGTCGTGTCGAGGAAGCAGTGTTCTTTCTGGACCTGGTTCTTTAAAGTCGCCTCGGTGACGAGTAACAGACGGTTTGGTGGGCTGGAAGGTTCCAAACGTTGGACGTTCGGGAAGGTGGGGGTGTTGATGAGCTGCTTAATTGCATTGTACGATCGTCACCCCGCATCATATGCAACAAAGCACTTCCTTACGCCACCAACCCAACCACGAGTATCACGGATCTTTTTGTCTGTTGAGAGAGAAACCTCTGTATTCGTGACCTTGGGAGAGAGTCTTGTCGTCTTGCATCTGAATTTGTACACTGTTCCGCCGTGATCAAATCACAAACGCCCGCTACCATGCCCCTGCGTACCTCACAACGATCCCGGCCTCTTCCTGTCTACATTTCGCACCTTTCGGAGCGGCCTGTTGACCGCCCTCCTGTACTTTGTGTACAGCTTGAAAGCATCCCTCAGCACCAAGTACATGCACCCGCCCACCAAGCTCCTGCCCCACGTCTGCTGCAGCAGCCCAGGACGCCCAAACGACTTGCCGCTCAGCGTCGTCAGGTGCTTCGGCAGCAGCAGCTGGAGGAGCTCGCCGGCCCCCGACGAGATGGCCGGCAGGAGAAGCGCGCTGGCAAGGGCGTTGGCCACATCACGAAGACTCGCGTGTAAGTTCCACTGCCGCTGATCGTTCATTGGCGGAGGCGCTGCTGCTGCGCCCGCCACCCTCGGTGCAGGCGCGGCCTCGTGTTCGTCGTGTCGTTGTTCTCCTGCGGCGATGAGGTCCGGAATCTGCTCACCGTCGGCCGGCATGTCAAACTCGACGTCCTCGTGAATCTCTACCCGGAACCCCTCTTGGCCCAGCCGAGGATCGTCGTCGCCGACGTGAACAATCTGCTCTTCGACCTGAAGTTCAACATTCACCTCGGGGATGTCAAGCAGGTTGATCGCCGCGTCCAGCATGCCCGCGATGCCGCCTTCGTCGTCGTGATCGTGATCATGATGGTCGTGATGATGATGCCCACCGTTCCGCTGCCCCTGATCCGGCCGCGGCTCCGGCTCCGGCAGCCCGGCTATCCTCCTGTCGAGCTTGTTCTCGTAGGGGCGAATAAACTCGCGCCACAGGTTTCTGTACATGGCGCGCACGTAGGGAAAGGCCGTGCAGACCAGTTCGGGCGAGGGCGGCCAGGAGAAGAAGTGCTCGTCGCGGGCCATGTGAAAGGTTCCAAACTAGTCGTCCGTCAGTCACATTCAACACTACAAGGTCACAGCAAAGCGAAACGTACCAGCGCAGCCAGCGGCAGGAAAATGACGTTGCCCAACCCGGGAATCGAGTGCGAGAGGATCAACGTCGGCGCAACGGCGCCCAGCCCGAGATAGCGCCCGAGCCGCGCGCCGTGCTCCTGCCTCGGGTCGTTGAGGAAGCGAAACCGCGCCTCGGGGCCGGCGAAGATGTGGAGCGCGACGTCGCCGTAGGTCGCGAGGCCGAGCCACGTGCCGATGGCGAGGCCCGTGCCGAGCAGCGGCGGCGACAGTCGGCTGAAGGCCTGGTGGAGGCGGTTGCCGACGGCGACGGCCGGGTCGAAGGGCTCGTCGACGGAGATGGCGGCCTTGCAGACGGGGCACTGGAAGGGCTTGTTCTCGCGCTCGAGCTCGGCGAGCCAGTGCATCATGCAGTCCTGGTGGCCCTCGAGCGAGCACGGGCAGGGGTGGACCCATTCCTCGCCCGCGGACTCGTCTTGGTCGGTCAGGCAGACGAAGCAGCGGCCTACGGCGGCGGGCGCCTCGTTGGCGGCCATGGCTTTCGTTGTTCGGTTGGATTTATCGTTGGGCTGCGAGACCTCGGGGGCTGATGACGTCGCGGGGCGCCGTGGACTGGCGTCAGTGTCGTGAAGGGCGGGAGGAGCCCAAAGAGACGGAGCTAGGTCTTGACGAGCATGTCAGAGGGGGTCAAAAGTTGAGGTTAGGTATGCTGTGAGGTGTGGTATGCTGTGAGGTGTGTCGACAGACGTGGTCTCGGTGAGATGCAGGCACCTTTGCTCTCGGCTGATTTTCGTTGGGAGCAGGCGCTCTCGTTTGGGAGCTCTGATCGTGTGACATCAGCAGGCAGTTGCACAGTTGCTGTGAGCTCGGCCTGAGACTGCCTTGCGCTAGCCGAAGGTGGTTAGCGCTGAATGAAGGCCGCGGTCGCGACAAATGGGCCATGTGAAGCTGGTCAGACCTCAGTAATTGACGTTTGCTCATGTATACTGTGAAAGACTGCCTTTTATTTTTCTTCATTTTTTATTGAAGAAAAACAATAACCAATACGTAGCAGATGTGAAAGTCTTCAGAAACGTCACAGAAGGCACAAACCCCAACGAATACACATGCATGCTCATAATGGCTCGTCATCGTTGGCGTCCGGCTGTCTCCGCTATGTCTACTGCAAAAATGTCCCATCGCTCAAACTCATTAGACCTGTTCTACTCTAAGCACCTGTACGCGTGACCATGGTCAGCGCCTGATCTCACCTCCCTCCGCGACGCCGGCAACAACGCTGGCTAAAGCATATTCTCCAAATTTTGATCCCTCTGTCCGTCTGTCCGTCATCCTGCATGCCTCCCCGGGATTACTCTCGTCTATAGCGTATAGCGCATAACCTATTCTCCCCCCTCCGGACCCACTATGCATGGCCCGCCGACTGCGCCAGCTCGTTGAGCTTGCCCTGCTCCTCGGCATTCAGCAGGCCGTACCACTCCTTGAAGTTGGCCACGTCCTCTCTGGCGGCACGCAGGAAGAACTCGGTCAGGTACGCCTGCGTCTCGTCGTCCCGCTGGCGGTTGCCCGAGGCCTCGATAAACGAGAGCAGGTCGTCCTTTGTGGATCCGAGACTGAGGTCGAGCGTGTCTGGGTCATCCTCCCAGCCGTCGTCGTCGTTGGCCTCGTCCTCAAACTCGCGGGCCGCGGCAGCCGCGGCCGCAGCCGTTGTCGACGCATTGTTAACGCCCGACGCGGAAAGGAGTTCCTCAATGAGGACCTTGAGAATTTTGAGCGTCGCGGGGACAATGGTGTATTTGTCAGGGTCTGCCAGTTCCAGTCAGTCGTAGTTCTCGGGCCTGTGGGTTCAGTCGGCATGGCACATACTAGCCTTGGCGCGCGAACGCGTCATGATCTTTCCCTCGTCGTTGCTCGGGAGCAGTTCGCCGCGAACTTGAATCTGCGACAGGCGAGGGTCGTTCAGCGAGTACAGCTTGGAAAGGGCGATGACGTTCTGGCGAATCTCGTCGTAGCCGGCAAAGTTGACAGAGTTCTCAAGCCACTTGCTCATGACCACTTGCAGGCCGCTCTCGTTGTTAATCTGGATCTGGCTGAGGAACTCCACAACGTCGTGGGCACCAGTCAGAGACAGACGCGCAAACACAAGGATCAGAGACTGGATGAATTGCGCAGCCTCGGCCGACGCGAGCCTCGTCGCGACAGCTTCGAGCAGCTTGGGAAGGAAGGGCCCGAGCCTCTCGTTGCCGGCCTTCTCCACGAGCTCGACAGCGAGACCGCCGACTTCGGATGCCGAGTTGTCCTCGATGGAAGAGCCGAGCAGACGGTCGATAATGCGCAGGCACACCTCGAGCCCAGACTTGCCGTCCTCGTTCCAGGCAAAGACCTGGTGGTGGTCGTGCTGCAAAAGGTACTTGACAGCCTCGGAACCTGGCCGGAGCACCTCGCCCTCGTTGGAGTCCATCAGCACTTTGTTCAACTTGGGCAGGGTAGCAGCGACGAAGCCCGCAGGCAGAGGCTCCGAGCCGTGTTCAATCAGCACGGTCAGGAGCTCGACGGCGGTCTAGAAGAAGATCAGCGTGGCCCAGCTTTGATGCACTTGGTGTGGGGCCTTACCGTCACGAGGGGGTCGTTCTCCGTCACGGCCGCCGTGTTGAAGGCAGCAATCAGCGTGGGCAGGACCTTGGCACAGAGGGCCGCGTAGGAGGCTGAGTCGGACAGGCTACGGACAATATCCTCAAAAGCCTCGCCCACCAGCATGAGGGCCTGGAAGTTGGACGAGGCGTACTTGGCAATGTGGAACAGAAGATCGACGGACTGCACATCCTGCGCCTGAATGGCGACCCGAGCGTCCAGGTTGATGGCCAGACGGATGGTCTCGGCGAGAGTCACGACGAGCTCCTCATACGCCTCGAGGTCATCGGGGTCCTTGTCCTGCATGTATTGGGAGATGGCGTTGAGCATGGGTACCTGGCGATCAGCAGGGACTCTGCCGGAGCGCATGAAGTACTCAAGAGCCTTGATGCAGGAGAGCTGAACGACCTCCTCGCCCTCGGTAGTGATGCAGGCAATGGTACGGTCAAGAAGCGCGGCAGGGGTTTGGACAGCACGGGTCAAGTTGCCGCCGAGCAGGTAGCCACGGGCGCGGAGGTAGGGCTCCTCCGACTGGTTGATGGAGTAGTCCACGAGGGCGAGGTAGGCCTCGGTGATGTGAGAAGGAATGGACTTGTCCATGTCGTGGAAATCGCTGAGAAGCATGCTGAAAAGAAAGAGTGAAGCCTCCTGGGTCTTCCAGGGGGCCTTGTCGCCGGAGAAGAGCGTCTGCGTGTAGGCGAAGACGGCGTCGACAGTCTTTTGGCTGTACCACTCGCCCAACTTGATAAGCAGGTCGCTGGCGGCAATACGCGCCGTGTAGTTGGCCGAGGCCGACGTCTCCTCAACCAGGTAGAGGGAGCAGTCGATGTCCCACATGCCCTGCTCCTCGCTACCGATGCGAGAGTACGAAGCCAGCATGCTCATGACCTCGACCATCCAGGAGGGCTCACCGGACGTGGCGCTCTGCTCCAACTGGCGGGCGAGCTCGGCGACAACGGGCGGCGCCCTGAAGCACTGATTGAGGAAGTCCAGCTCCTCGACGACCAGGTAATCGAGAGTGAACGGCAGGGCGTCCGAGTCCTCCATGCGGCCTTGGGTGGCGTTGTTGATGTAGAGGTTCTCGTAGGGTGTCTGCAGCGTCTTCAGCTCGGACCAGACAGTGGAGAAGAGGTCGACGCTCTGCGGGGTCATGAGGTTGCTGAAGACATTCTTGATCTTCAGCAGCGTCTTGACCGACTGGATCTTGATGGAGATGACGCCATTCCACGATTCGGGCTGGCGGAGATCCCCAGGGCCGGCGGCAGGGGCGTCGGGCAGGGGCGTCTTGAGGACTTGCAAGAAGAAGGGGAACCACTGCTTCAGTGCTTCATCGGCAAAGGCCTTGACGTCCGTCGGGTGGTCCTCCTTGACAATATCCATGAGGTCGAAGCAGCCGCGGAAGATGGACACGGCCTGGGCGCGAAGGCTGGGGCGGCGGTTCTCGTCAAAGGCGACCTGCGTGACGGCCTTGACAATCTCACGGGCCATGGAGAAGAATTGGTCCTCGCTCAGGCTCTCGTCAATGACATCGCTGAGAATCTTGAGGCCTCCGTAGATCTGGGCGTCGGTTCCGCTGGGAATGACGGCAAAAAGGGCGGGTAGGAGGTGAGGCCAGCGCTCGGGGAAGTCGTACGAGGCAATCTTGCCGACAGAGTAACTGGTCAGGGCCTTGATCTTCTTGTCGCCCTCGTCGTTCAGCGCGAGCTGGAGCAGAGCGTTTCGAAGCGAGTCCCGCGTGGCGTCGGGGATGTCAATCATGGGCTCCTCGGCGCGGTCCTCGTCCTGGCCCCAGTTCCTGGCAATGAACTTGTTCAGCGTGGTCAGCGCGAGCTGACGCACGGCAACGTCAATGGAGGCATGGCTGGCAATGTTGACGAGGGCGGTCGGGAAGGCGGGGTTCGCGCGGGTTCGCTGCAGCTCGATCTCTGCCTGCTGCCGCTTCGTCTGGCTCTGAGGCTCGGCCGAGGCGTGCGCGACGTCGTTCAGCAGAGAAATCAGCTGGTCCTCCATGATGGGCGCTGCGACGCTGGCGTCTGCACACCTGGGGGGTTGTGAGGGGCCGAGGAAAGGGCTATCGGCAGTTCGGAATTCGCTTCACGCGAGGACGGCAGTCGAAAATTCAACACCTCTGTTCTTTGGCGTGAGGTGGAACGTTTTGGCTGGGTATTTGGGTTGGAAGGTTGGTTGAAATCGAAGTCGAGGTCGAAGCTGAAGTCGAGATCGAGTACCTTTGGTGAGAAGTGGGGGTGGGAAAAGACAACAAGTGCGCGTGGAACAATTAATTATCACGGAAAGGTCCAGGCACAGCTCTGCACAAGCAGAAGCACAAGAAGATGCACGGGCAGGCACGAATGGAGGGGTGCAGTGGTGCAGTGTGGAGTTGGGTCAGGGTGTCTCAGGTCGTTTTTTTTTTGGTGGGGTAGATATTTTGACGTTGGTAGTGTGACCTTGGTAGCTGTGCAGGCAAAGAGGGAAAGCAGACCACGCGCACGCCGCCGTTGCCCAATGTTCATTGACTTGGGATGTCCGATGCCGCCTGTGGCTGCGCCCACGACCCCTGACAGAACTTGGACCAGGGCGATGGCGCGTCTTGCTTGGGCCTTGGGATCCTGCCAGCATGCAATCGTGAGAAGATGATGCGACAGCCCGGCACGCAAGCACGCTGCGCTGAACATGGTCTGATGGTGCCGGCGCTACTGGCTGGATCCAGGGGTCGTCCGTCGCCTTCTGGCTATGACCACCCCAGCATCTCAAACGCTGCCGAATCTACCGGGCACGCCACGATATTGACCAAGCTTTTGGTGAAACGGAACAAATCAATTCTCGGTGGGTAAGACACATCGCCATTACGGCCAGGCTTGTTTAGCAGGCTTATAGCAGGATTATGTAGCAGGCCTTTTAGCAGTTCATATCTAGTCTTGCCAAACAACAACATGAGCCTCATTCATGCTGTGGAAAAAACGTCAAAGAAGTGCGCAGAGCCTACACGTCAAAAACACATTCAAAAGTGCAAAACATTGGACAATGCGCGAATCGAACGCGCGACCTTCAGCAAGCAAGTATCCAGGATCAGAAGACCTCGTCGGATGCTAAGCAGACGTTATACCACTAAACCAATCGCCCTTGGATGATTTCGCCATCAGACCCACGGCCTCATCCCCAGCGAGGTGCTGCCGTTAGGGCTCGATGGCTCTCTTTTTCGGGCAGCTTTCCCACTTGGATCGGACCCCGGTGGGTGGAACTCGGTCGTGGCGGCTCCACCGGGACGGAGCTTTTCGCGGGGGTGACATCGGGGCACGTTGCACAACTATGATGCATTGAATGCCGTCCCTTCGTGGACAGATTGTTTGCGGGTAGAATAGTCTCAAGCATGGCATGGTGTTTTCGAAACAGGTGCTTTGGATGGAGGGCACGCTCTGGGCGCTCACAAGCTACAGTGCACAAAGAAAGAGACAAATATCATCGGAAACCAACCAGAGATCTCGGTGCGTAGTCCAGGTTTGCCAATATCTCGACAAACTGCGCGATATACTCGCGGCTGCGTCGTTCGACATCGCTGAGAACGCCCGAGCCCTCGCTGCGTTCCAGCAGCGTGGCTGCAATCTCTCGAATCTTGACAATCTGTTTCGCGTCAGAACAATCGGCTGCCAAAGAACAGTCCATACGAGGCTTCGGCGGCAACTCACCATCGACGAGCCGTTCGACTCGAGCGTCCAGGCTGAACAGTAATGCACAACGTCAAGAAGCTCCCGGGCAACAGATTCCTTCAGTTGCCATAGTTGTTCGCGGGCGGAAGTATCGGGCGTAGCCGGGTCGCTTGCTGGCGAGGTCCCTTGGCTGCCGGCTCTTGCGCCGTGGTCAGATAGCTCAACTTTGTCGAGGCACATTTCCAGGATCATGGATTGCAGGTAGATGCTCGTAATGTGAACGTTGGCTCGCATGATGTCAAATTGGGGTGACACGGCGGGTAAAGCACCTCGTTCGGCGTCATACGTCGCAGGCGAACCTCGTCGGCGTGGCATTCGAAGCTCAGGCGGCAAATTGCTCAGCGTCGTGTTGAGTCGTGTCATGACGTGGAAAAGAGAGTCCAACGTAGGTATTGAGCCTTGAAACTTCGGTTTCTGTCGCTCGTCGTTGTCGAGGAGAAGCGGCACAAGCGTGCCAGAGGACAGGTGGTATGCCTGTGGAGGACCGGGGAAAGCCTTGTGCAGGAGGTCGACGATGCAGAGGAACACCTTGATCAAGGCAATGAAGCCTGAGATCATGGGCAACGGCCGATCGCGGGGCGCATGACCGGGCAGTTGGTCCAGAGCCCGGTGGCCAATCTCGTCGTCGGCAAGTTCCAGCGGGAGCAAAAAGTCCCAATCAGTCGACAACGGGTCATAGCTGAGGCCGGTGTGAGGGATGACAAACGACATTCGGTCGTGGCTACGCGGCATTAGCATTCATCTCATCAAGGATCGATCACGCTGCTGTCCATACATCTGAAAGATGAATAACAACCAGAAAGCCCGTTTGCACATCTCGGCCTCAATGGGGGTGAAGCGCAGGTAGCTGGCCTTCTTGTACAGCTCCAGGGCTCGGAAGTAGAGGATGGCCTCGCCGGCATAGCTCCACCCAGAAGCCGTGCGGCCTGCGTAGAGAGCGGCGATGGTCATGGCCAGCGACACCAGCATGGTGTCCATTGTGGGCTGGTCCTGCCACAAGGGCTCGCTCCCCAGGCGGCTCAGTAGGATGAGCTGGGATGCTCTGTCGACCATCTGGCCGACATCGGCGTACAGGGACGAGCCATAGACTGTGATTCTTCGGGGAATGGACGCCACCGTGGCGGCACAGAGGGATATGGTCAGGCGTAGGAATACGGGGTCGGTTTCATAGCATCGCGCGTCAAAGGCGGCTTGGTATGTTGCGACGTGCACAATGGGAAGCACGGGATAGACGCGGTCGAAGAAGTCGTCAATGATAATCTTGAGCGTGTATTCCGGCACAAAGTCTGTGATGGACACATGTCCGACGGGTAGCTGCTGAAGCCGATGGGGTTGGTGGACCTGGTGTGTCTGTGTCTGTGGGAAGCTCGTAGTGGCGGTAGTGGTGGTGGTGGTGTTGCTGGGGCTTGCGAGTGCGACGAAGGAAGGCGTCGTTGGCGTCTGAGGCTCGTCACTGGTGCTGGCGGTGGCAGCGCGCTGCTTCGCCTCGGCAACACGCCTACAGATGGTGACAATGTCAGAGCATAATCTTGGACGAACTTGGGTGTTTGACGGTCGGTCGGCGGGGAGGGGGTGTACCTGCTAGGCGGACCTCGCGGCTTTCGTGTGGTCAAGAAGGTGCATGGGACCTCCGCCTTCTGGCATTTCTGGCACGTAGTTGAAGAAATTTCGTGGTTGAATACACACTGCTCAGGAAAACCAGATTAGCGTTTTGCAGTGCTTGGCACCTTGGGGCGCTGAGGTCGAGGTCGAGGTCGATTGGCGGAGCCTACCTGGATCTTGCGCTCACGGCAGAGATCGCATGCCTTTCGGGCGATCGAGCGGCCCTTTCTGGAACTTTCAGCCATTGGAAGCGCATCGCGAGAGGTCGTAAGAGCTGTCGCCGGGGAGGTTGACTCAGGGTTCACATGGCGCATGCAGCCATGGACCCAAGCATCTTTGCGTCGTCAAGTTGCGTTGCGCGCGGCGGCAGGCGGATCCAGGTCGATGGTTCGTCGTTCGACTGTGGAGTCTTCTCGTTCCTTGGTTCCTTGCCGGCCGCCCCTGCCCCGCGTGGAGAGACGATCAGAGGTATGCATTAAGGCGGATGAGCTGGACGTTGCCCCGGTGCTTGTAATTATCGGGCTTATAACATTGTCCGAATGAACGCTGTTGTTTCCCCGAAGGAAGGAAGCAACCATACTCTACCAGATTTCTTCCAGGACCGACACTTGGTCCGGAACCTACAGCTGTCTTTCAGACATGCCATCTCTGCTTCTATTCCGTGGCTTCTCACATCTCGTGACCGACCAGTCGGGATCGCAGGTTGTCGGAAACCATCGAGCAAAAGATAAAAGTCTATCAGGAACGTGAGACATTGCGGTTCCATTGGCGCTACGCTGCACGAGTCAACCCGACTATCCCCTCCTACTGGCAGAGGCACATGGTGTATTCATCTCAATGAGAGTTCACTAACCAAGCCTGGTCTCGCAGGCAATGGCTGCCGACGCTTCAACCCCCGACTTCTCAAAGCCGATGACGAAGCCTGCGAGGAATCCATTATGCAATCATGCCTGGCCTTTTCCACGCTGGTGTACAGTACGCCAACGGTTTCATAACGGGAATAAGGAGAAGCCTTGACAATATCTGTCTTCACAATCCGTCTCTTCCACACTGCGCCTTCGCTTTTCCCCGCAGTCGGCGTCGGTAGCCAGCGTCGGGAGTTGAAATCGCGGGGCACTCTCCACCGATCTGGAGTTGCTCTTCACGGAGGCCCCAACGACTACGAATATCCGTTTAGAAACCAAAACGCCAAGGAGCTTCCAGAGGAAATACTCGGCTTTAAAACCACGTGCTGCCATTGTCAATCCAAGAGCTCTCATTGAGGGGTTGACCAAGCTCCACGGAAATCGAAACGGCACTTCGTGGGGTACGGAACGTGCACCCGACAGACTATCCACCAGCCAGACTATCCAACTTGAGAGCCTCTAACCCCACGAGAGGGAGAGAGAGAGAGCGTGTGACTAGAGTCGCAGTATAAAGTCCTGGTATCTGCCCCATGCCAACCGAGCTCTCGCAAGCCGTCCCCGTTCACTATCATCCGATACATCCATTTTGTCCACAGCACAGCAACACCGCTCAAAGGCACGCTCACACTATGTCCATTGCTAGTCTAATCTTGTCGCCATGGACGGCGCTGGCCGCTTTTGTGTTCTACTACTTGTACCCATATTTCTTCACGTACAGTCAGTTCCGAGATATTCCAGGTCCGCTCCTGGCACGCCTCTCCAACGTCTGGCTCTTTGCAACCGCGCGACGAGGCAAACGGTTTCTGCTCGTCCACGAGGCCCACCAAAAATATGGTCCTGTTGTGCGCATCCAACCAAACCACATCAGCATCAACAACGATGAGGCCATCCAAGCCATATACGGCCACGGCAATGGCTTCCTGAAAGCGTAGGCACTTTGCACCATACACTTGCTTCCTGTGATCCGGCCAGTCAACGAGGAAACTGACATGCTCCAGCGACTTCTATGACGCCTTTGTCTCCATTCGCCGCGGTCTCTTCAACACGCGCTCCCGCGCCGAACACAGCCGCAAGCGCAAGATTGTCTCGCACACGTTCAGCGCGAAGTCCATTGTCCAGTTTGAGCCCTACATCCATCACAACCTCGAGCTCTTTGTCCAAAAGTGGGACGAGCTCGCCGCGCGCGCCGCCACGACGAGCCCTGACGGCGCCGTCCATGTCGACTGTCTGAATTGGTTCAACTACATCGCCTTCGATGTGATTGGTGACCTCGCCTTCGGCGCCCCCTTTGGCATGCTCGAGTCGGGCGCCGACGTGGCCGAGGTGCGCGCGTCGCCCGACAGCCCGCCCGTCTACGCCGCAGCCGTCGAGATCCTCAACCGCCGCGGCGAGGTGTGCGGCACCCTTGGCTGCATGCCCGACCTCGTGCCCTACGCAAAGTGGCTGCCGGACCCTTTCTTCAACAGAGGCCTGGCCGCCGTCAAGGACCTCGCCGGTATCGCCATTGCCCGGGTGCGCCGCCGCCTCGATGCTCCGCCACCGCCCGACCGCAAGGACCTCCTCGCGCGCCTCATGGAGGGCCGCGACGACAAGGGCGAGCCCCTCGGCCGCGAAGAGCTCACGGCCGAGGCCCTGACGCAGCTCATCGCCGGCTCCGACACAACCTCCAACACGTCGTGCGCCTTGCTGTACCACGTCGTCCGCACGCCCGGCGTCGTCGCCAAGCTCCAGGCCGAGCTCGATGCTGCCGTCCCCGCCGACGTGCCGGTGCCCACCTTTGATCAGGTCAAGGAATTGCCGTACCTGCAGGCCGTCATCAACGAGACGATGCGCTACCACTCCACCTCGGGCATCGGGCTGCCGCGGCTCGTGCCCCTCGACTCGGCCGGCGTCGAGATCCTCGGTCGCTTCTACCCACCCGGCACGGTGCTCAGCGTGCCGACGTACAGCGTCCATCATTCGAAGGAGATCTGGGGTCCGGACGCCGACGAATTCAGGCCGGAGCGGTGGCACAATGTCACGGAGCGCCAGAAGAACGCGTTCATCCCGTTCAGCTACGGGCCTAGAGCCTGCATTGGCAGAAACGTCGCCGACATGGAGCTCAAGCTGATCGTGGCAGCGTGGGTGAGGAGGTATGATGTCGTTCTGCGACAGGACGTCATGGAGACGCGCGAGGGGTTCCTCAGGAAGCCAGTCGCGCTCGAAATCGGGTTCAAGAGGAGGCAGTAGACGATGGCAGGTAATGGCGAGGCAATTGAAGCGGATGTTACAGTGTATTTTCTCGCACCTCGAGGATTATGTCATTCCTCCCAGCATGCAGCATACATGAACCACCCAGACAGATAGTGTATCGTAAGCTGATCATGATGCTCAAGAGCAGTTGATAGGTCCAACCTATCTCGTTTCATGCTGCCGTAGGACATCTGCCAGCTATCTCCCAAGTCCCCGCATCTTCTCCGGCCCCCCGCTCCTTGCACACTACAATGTCGCAACATCCTCATGACATGATTCCAACTTTTTGTCGTTCACGGGCACACCTCAGAGACTCCGCCCAATATCCCTCCCGCTTTCTTGATGCACGCCGGCTCCGTTCCGCAGCGGCGTCTCAGCCTCAATGACACGCTTGGGCAGCGCATACCCAATGCCGAAAAAGACGAAGAAGGCCCACTTCCAGCGGAAGGGGTTGAACGCGATGCAAAAGGTAAACCACCAAAGGAGCTCGGTGTAGGTGAAAAAGTCAAAGGCGGCAATGGGCGAGGCGGACTTGAGCAGCCGCGTAAAGTCAATCCAGAGGCGCATCCATGTTGGGTTGGGCCGCGTCAGCGGGTCGACGAGGAACATGAGCAGGATGCGGGTGTAGATGCCAATGTGCCAGTTTCCGACGGTGCCAATGGCGTTGACGTACGTGCTGCAGAGGTCAGCAGCTTGTCACTTTGCGACGCACGGGGCGTGGGACTTACCAGTTGATGGCCGAGATGGAGGGATGGTTCGGAGGGAAGGTCTGTAGGTACCAGTTGGGCGGGTCGTACGGCTCGTCGAAGCAGTCGTCGGGCAGGAAGGAGAGCGAAGGGCGCTTGAAGCCAGTGGCCATGACGATCACGTCGGCAGGGATGGTCTCGGTCCTCCCCGGTCCACCCTTGGGCACTCCCTTGGAGCGGCGGTTGACGATGATGCCATCCTTGGTGAAATCTTCAATGTCGCCCCGGATCCAGTCGGCCTTGCCCTCGCGAATCTTGTCGAGCACATCGCTGTTGACCATGGGCGTGTCCTCGAAGATGCCCTTCTGGGACGGCGCAATGTCTGACAGATCGCGATAGAAGAGACGGCGCAGAAGCAGCTCCGGGACCCAGGAGAGAACCGTTTCCTGGCCAAACACATTAAAGGCGAGCAGCATGTTGACCACGGGGTTCCTAGGGATGATCCACTTGTCGCTCCTCGAGAGGATGTAGGTCTTGTCGGCATCTTCGGCCGCCGCAAACTCGAGAGCCTCGACAGCACTGGCGCCGCCGCCAATGAGGGCAACCTTCTTGCCCTTGGCGCTCTTGCCCGTCAGCTGGCTCGAGTGGTAGACAGGACCCTGGAACTTTTCAATGCCGTCGACCTTGGGCATCTTTGGTTCGCCACATGTGCCGACGGCGCCGATGATGCCTTCGAACCGACCATTGGAAGTATTGTTGACGATCCAGCGGCCCTTGTCATCCTGGTACACATTGTTGACGGGCGTGTTAAACTTGGTGCGCGTATCCAGACCGTAGCGCTCCCAAAGCTGGCGGACCTGGCTGACGATCTGCTGGCGATCCGGATAGCCGCGTTCCCAGTTCACCGACGGATGGAAGCGGTACATCATGGAGTGAATCTGGAGGCTCGAGGTGTTGTTCACTTTCTGTGGGCAATGTCAGTCACAAGGGTCCCCCCCAAAAAGCAAGTCAAACAAGTCGTACACTCCAGATGCCGCCCAGATTTGACTTGGGACCCGCCTCAAAAATGACAACGTCGAAACCATGGCCAATGCAGTGCGAGGCCGCAGCGACACCAGTGATGCCCGCGCCAACGACAGCAATCTTGGGACGGAGAAGCTGCCTGCTGGGGTCAGGCGGCGTTGGAGAGAGGAGTTTGTTGATGAACCACTGGAGCAGCTGGTAGACGAAAAGAAAGGGATGCAGGAGCGGGTTCTGCAAACCGGACTGAGACGGCATGATAAAAGTCAATAGTGCCTGCAAGCTAGGCGGCGGAGAGAGAGAAAAAGCTACTCAGGAGGAGGAGGGAAGACGAATGTTTAAAGCACGCGAGGGGAAGAAAGAGACTCTGGAATGAATCAAGCCACTGCATTGACATGTGAAGGCGGAATGAGGTCGGCGGAGACTTCTGCTGCTTGGCTTCTGGTTCTTCGTCCGAGTTGAAAATGGGGCAGCCGCGTAGCGTTGACGTCACGATGAAATAGGACGAAAGCTGCATGGGTCTTGATTTGACTTGCTCTGGCGACCAAGCCGGCGTTCGATTGACGTTGACATTGCAGTAGCTGATTCTTGAACGGTACGACAAGTCGTAAGGTTTGGGGGAGCTCCTACAGTTCAATGGGTGGTGGAGCGTGTCAGCGCGTCGTCCTGTGTCTTGGATCGTGTTGGAATGCCATCAGCCACGACACGTCCCCATTGTGAGCGCTTCTTTTTGTCCCCTCTCCCTGCTGAACCAGCACATGAGGAGCAAGACAATTCGTGTCTGGTCCCCAGCTCTTGCACCCTGCTGCCAACTTCATTTCGCCCCGAAATCCGCCTATCTGCGCCCGCCCCGGTCGCGACGCCCTGCCTCCAGTACCTTGAGCCTCTTCTGGAATCGCTCGCCCATCTCCGGGCCCGCTCCGCTTCCTCTCGGCCCGTCCGTCGTGTCGTGAGTTCTCTTGCGGCTCTTGTCGAGCAATGCCTTGGCACCCTTGGCGCCCTCCTTCTTTGCCGTGAGCCTGTTGATCCTGTCGACACCATCGCCGAGATCCCGCCACTCTTCGCCGCCAAACTGCATGCGACCGCTGCGGCCTGCCGCCGCCGCCTCCTTGGCCTTTTGCTTCTTGCTCTGCGTCGGCAGACGGACAAAGTTGGACTCCTCGTACTCCCGGCGCTCGTCCTCGACCTTGCGGTCTGCCGCCGTCTTGACCTTGCGACCGCCCGCCACCACGTTGGTACCAATGCTGGGCTCGGCCAGCGGTGCCATCGACAGTTCCGTCTCGATGTACTCGTCCATTGTGGCCGACTTTTGCGGCCTCTTGGTCGTCTTCTCCTTGCGCTCCGATGGCATCACCGTCGGCGCGACGCGGGGCGGCCTGTAGATGCCGTCCTTCTGCGCCGCAGCCACGGCCGTTGAGGCAGAGGCCGGCTTGACAAAGGCGCCAGGTCGAGCCTGGAATTGCGCAGCATCAATGTCGGCCTTGTCCTCCTCGTCGCTCTCGTCGTCTTCATCGTCCTCATCCTCGTCGCTCTGAGACCCAGACTCATCCGAGTCGTCCGTCTTCTTCGTCTTTGATGATGCCTTGCTCGTGATGGCCGCACGCTCGGCATCGTCGGCGGCGCGTAGGATCTTATCGATCTGGTAGCGAAGCTTCTCCTCGAGGGGGCGCACACCCTTTTCGAGGAAGAGGCGCAGCTCAACTAGCTTCCTGACAATCGGCTCTGTGGCCTTGTCGGCGCTGTCGTCGTCGTCCTTGGCGGGGTTTTTCGCATTGCGAAGCTTGAGGAGGATTAGGAAGACGAGGTTCTGAAGGTAGGAAAGCAGAAGCTCGTTCTTGACGTCGAGAAGTGAGATGCCGTTGTCCGACTGCTCAATACCGGCCACCTTGGGCGCCGTGTCGAGGGCGGAGACGAGCGATTGCGTGAGAGATTCCAGCAGCGCCGGAAGAGAACTTGGTGCGGCCATGGTATCGTGTGTTGGGCTGATATGCGGCCCTCTGCCGGTGTTGTCTGTCGGCGGTCGAGGGAAGGCTGTGAAGCTGGCTCTCGACTGTGATTTTTTTTTCTTGGGCAGGAAAGAATTCATACGCTATCGATAAGAGCGGGATCGACGAACCCACATGAGACAGGGATGCCAGGCACTAACACGCCTAGTTCGACAGTTACTGCATCCCTGACTAGCGCCGAAGATGACCCGATGCCACAGACCACCGTTGGCTGGTGCCTTGCCTCAGCCTGGCACCCTTGTGAACCAGCGTGAACCAAGGGGCGGCTGACTAAGGCAACATTCTTGGGACGGACAGCTGTTCGAGGGAGCTTGCGCAACACGTACGAGCATCGGCAACTTACCTTGATACAACCTATGCAAAGAGACGACAAAGACGACATCGGAATCCGCCATTCGACAGTCATTTACGCCACGCCCTCGAGCTTACGACACGGCTAGACCTGCTTCTTGCGCAGCTTGAGCTCCTCGCGCCTCATTAGGCGTGTCCGGTGGATCTCTGGCTGTAAGCCATCCTGAGGTGCTGTCAAGAAGGTAAGCGACGAATCCTCCAGCTCGTAATTCCGAGATGCGCCAATTCTGATCTCCACCATTCCTCCTTTGCGCTCCGTCATGTCACGATGGTCGGATAAGTTTGCAAGCTGACCATGCCCTCCTAGCTACTCTCCAACGCGACTCATCATGATGCACCCGACACTGGGCGCGCCCCTCGCGGCCGCCCTCCTCGCCCTCCCCCAGCTGGCTTCTGCCTTCTACCTCCCTGGTGTTGCGCCAACGTCCTACGAGAAGGGCGAGAAGGTCCCGCTCAACGTAAACAGCATCAAGCCCGTCGCCGCCATTTCCGATTCGAGGTTACACTCGGTCGTCTCGTACGAGTACTACCACCCTGCCTTCAAGTTCTGCCAGCCCGAAGAGGGGCCCCAATCCGTTTCCGAGAGCCTAGGCAGCATCCTCTTTGGGGATCGTATAATGACGTCTCCTTTCGAGCTGCTGATGCTCAAGGACGAAACGTGCAAGCCTCTCTGCATCAAGAAGTACCCGCCGCCCGCTGTCGGCTTTATGAAGCGCCGCATCGAGCAGGGCTACAGCCTCAACTGGCTCGTGGACGGTCTCCCTGCGGGCCAGCAGATCCAGGACGACTTTACCAACACAACCTTTTACAACCCGGGGTTTCTCATGGGCGGCGTTGATGAAGACGGCAATATCGTCTTCAACAACCACTACGACATCAACATTGAGTACCACCCCGTCAGCGGAAGCACCAACCAGTACCGCGTCGTCGGCGTCATCGTTGAGCCCAGCTCGCGCGCCTACCCCAACTTGATCGACTGCAACAACCCGATGGACCCCATCGTCTTCGAAGAAGATGGCAGCGAGAAGGAGGTCAAATTCTCTTACAGCGTCTACTGGACCAAATCTGAAACCGCCTGGGCAACGCGCTGGGACAAGTATCTTCACGTCTTTGATCCCAAGATTCACTGGTTCTGGCTGATCGACACTGCCATCATTGTCGTCATCCTCATCGGCACCGTGGCCTCGATTCTGGTGCGCGCCCTGAAGAAGGACATTGCGCGCTACAACCGCCTCGACCACATCAACCTCGATGACCTTTCGGGCACCGGCATCGACGAAGACGATGGCGTACAGGAGGACTCTGGCTGGAAGCTGGTGCACGGCGACGTGTTCCGCACCCCCAAGTACCCCCTGCTGCTTTCCGTACTGCTCGGCACCGGTGCCCAGCTGTTCGTCATGACAGGCTTCACCATCTGTTTCGCCCTGCTCGGCTTCCTCTCTCCCTCCAACCGTGGCTCTCTCGGCACCATGATCCTGCTGCTGTACACCGTCCTCGGCTTTGTCGGCGGCTACGTCTCGTCGAGGACCTACAAGGCCATGCAGGGCGAGAAGTGGAAGGTCAACATTGCCATGACGCCGCTCCTCGTGCCCAGCATTGTCTTCGCCTCCTTCTTCCTGCTTGACCTCTTCCTGTGGGCCAAGCAGTCCTCGGGCGCTGTTCCCCTGACCACCATGCTCATCATCATTCTCATTTGGTTCCTCATCTCGATCCCGCTGTCCGTCGCCGGCTCGTGGCTCGGCTTCCGCGCCAACGCCATCGAGCCGCCCGTCCGCACCAACCAGATCCCCCGCCAGGTGCCCCCTGTCACGACATACCTCAAGCCCGTCCCTAGCATGCTGATCGTCGGTTTGCTGCCATTTGGTGCCATCTTCGTTGAGCTATACTTTATTATGAGCTCAGTGTGGTTCAGCAGGATCTACTACATGTTCGGCTTCCTCTTCCTTTCGTATGGCTTGATGGTGGTCACCTGTGCGGCCGTCACGATCTTGATGGTTTACTTTTTGCTCTGCGCCGAAAACTACCACTGGCAGTGGCGCTCCTTCCTCGCTGCCGGAACCTGTGGTGGCTACATTTTCGCCAACTCGCTGCTCTACCTTGTCACCAAGCTCAAGCTGGGCAGCTTGGCTGGCGGCGTTCTCTACATTGGCTACAGCGCGCTCATTTCCTTCCTATTCTTCATCCTCACTGGTGAGTCTCGTTGCTGTCTGTACACGACGATCGTTTGATGCTAACATATTATCCAGGATCGATTGGCTACTTTGCGAGCTGGTGGTTCGTGCGCAGGATCTACGCCTCCATCAAGATTGATTAAAAGGAGATATGGCAAGGGGTAGTGTTCTCGGATGGGGCAAAAATAGCAATGGGAATCTCAGCAAGCAGCTGGGTATGTGTGTACGATTAACTTCTGTATGACGGCGCTCTTGGTCGGCGTCGGGCGCGCACAGGGGTATGCTACGTTGGCTGCAGTTCGCGTCGGGCGGGGGACGACATGGGCGTGGCACGGAGTCTTCTTTCTTCTTTGTCTGATTCAAACGACGTCATTGAAGAAGCGTGACTGCCTTGAAACCATTTCATGACTGATTTTAGACGTTCAAGAGGAATCAATAGATCATAGCCATGTTGGTAGCTCCCTGCACGTACGATTGGATGATCTATTTCCTATTTACACACTCGAGGGTGAGGTCTACATCTAGTCGTCATCGTCGTCGTCCATGTCCATGCTAGTAAACTGGAACTGCGCGTTCTTGCCCGCGGCGGGCGCCGGCGACGTCGCAGACGGCTCGGGCTTCTGCGCGGCCTCGGCGGCGCGCCGGCGCTGGTTGGCCTCCCACTCCTCTCTCTTGCGGCGCGTCTCCTCGGCCTTGCGGCGTTCCAGCTCGGCCTTGGCCGCCTTGTCCTCTTCCTCGCGGCGCTTGGCCTCGGCGGCGACGGCGACAGGGTCGTAGCCGCGCGGGTCGATGCCGCGCTCCGAAAGGTCCTGGCACGCGGCGAGGGCGCCGCCGCCAATCTGATACTCGTTCGGCCACGGCAGGAAGATGGTGCCGTGGTTGGCGTCGAGGTGGTCGCGGAGGCCCGAGGGCAGGGCTGTCGTTATGCCCAGCGGCGCGCCGGACGGGTTGTCGCCTGGTGCTGCGCCTGGCTGCTCGGGCGGCTGGGACGTGGCGCCGTTGGGGCCCGATGATGGATCGGGGAGCTGCTGCGCGGTCGGCGTCGGGGCGGCGGGCGTCTGGGCTCCTGGCGTGGGCGCACCCGGCGTCGGGGCACCTGAGGGCGTCGGCGCGGCGCTCGTAACGGCGCTTTGGACGCCGTTGATGACGGCGCCTGCTGGGGGGTCCTCTGACGCGGCCGGTTCGAATGTGACGCCGTTGGTCACGCCTGCCGGGGGCAGGGTCGTCTTGCTGATGCGGCGGGCATAGTTGAGGAGCTCCTCGTACTTGATGGGGTAGTGGTCCTCGTCTCCGTGGACGGTAATGTGGGTGGTGGTGATGTCTCTCCGGGTGGACGCGAGGGTGGACAGAGTTTCACGAATCTGGGCGTCGAGAGCCGAGGATGTGGTTCGGAGCTCTTGCAGGCGAAGATGGTTGTTCTGATGCTGCTGAACTGCATGGAACGGTCAGCAGCTGCTGATGGCTCGCGGTGGGTTCACCGTGCCTCGACGTACCTAGCTCGAGCCCTCGTGAAAGCTCCTTGTCTGCCTCTTGCAGGTCGAGCGCCTGCTTCGCATACGGATGATACTTGGAGACGGACTCAACAAGGCTGGCGAGCGCCTTTTCAACGCGCTCGAAGCGGGCGTCAATGAATTCGTCCATGACGGGAATGGCTCGTCTTGCATCAGGCAGAGGCCCAGACGTTTCTAGTGCGGGAGGTCGCAGCTTTATTGTCGGATTTGAGGATGCAAGCAAACAGGTTAGCGCCGGGTAGATTCAGTAGACAGGTATCTAGCATGCATACCTTAGCATGCTTATACAGCTAGCGGGGACTCAGCATTTTGCACTAAGTGCATGTCTACCCTCTCCTCAACTGCTACCCGCCTACTTGTTTAATTCGAGCCTCATTGCCTCTATTAGTCCAGACCCCCAAAGCCTTTGGTCTTGGATAAGGTACCTAAGGTATCATTGCCTGACCAGATCTGGCTGGACTGATCTTGCCGTGGGTCGCTCCCACCATGACTTGACATGGCCAACGTTGCAGGTGGCACCGGTGATGAAGACGAACTGCAGGTTCCAATGACTGTGCTTGCCGCTGAAAGATTCATTGACAACGCAGGCGTTATGGAAGTTCGTTTCTTCTGAGCCATTGCCACGCTTGAACCCACTTCGGGGAGTATCCTGGTTCTACTCCCTGCAACAGGTATATGCCTTCCCTCACACTAGACAGCTCTCCGATGGAAGACGCTGAGAGGCCGAGTCTGTGTGCAGATTGGCAATGAATGAAGCAGATCGAGGAGCTCAGCTCTGCATGGAGTGATGATGTACACTTTCTAGCTCACGCCCCACTAGTTTACGATGTGTGCTTCATATTTCCAAATGTAAAAACCGACTCCAACAGCAAACAAGGCTCTTGTGCCCCTGCATCCATGACAACATGAAAGCCGGCCAGAATTTCATATGCGAAAAACACTTCGAGGGGCTCAGAACTACTTCGATAGGCCTTCTCACAGCTTCTTCGGGCAATATGAAG